GCGGCTATGGACTATTTGCCGATAACAACCTTTTATGACCTCACGGAGGACAGGCCGTACTTGCCGGCACCGATCATCCACAGGCCGCGGCCGCACATGCGGCTGCCCTGCCCTCTTACTTCGTCGGGATAGGAAGAGGAGGAAGGGGAGGAGGAGGAGGAGGAGGAGGAGGAGGAGGAGGAGGAGGAGGAGGAGGAGGGGAGGAGGAGGGGGAGGAGGAGGGGGAGGGGGAGGAGGAGGAGGAGGAGGAGGAGGAGGAGGAGGAGGAGGAGGAGGAGGAGGACACATTAGGAAAAAGAGTAACAGTAGAGAGGAGGATGTGTGCTACCTCGTCGCCTCGGTGCGCCGCGCCGTGGTCGCGTTCCTGGGCGCGGCCAGGGCGGTGGGGGTGAGGCGCGAGCCCGCTGGAGCACAATCGGCACGGAGGAGGGGCAGGACGAGGACGACGGAGGAGGAAGAGGGACGAGGCAGGAGGAAGAGGGACGAGGCAGGAGGAGGAACAGAGGAGAGGGCAGAAGGCAGGGGAGGAGGCGCCTCCTCCCTCCTCCGCCCCCCAGGAGGAGGGGGAGGAGGAGGAGGAGGAGGGCTCCGCCTTCTCCGCCCCTTCCTGCTTCCCGTACCCCGAGCCCTGCCCGCGCTATGTTCTTTGTTCAATGACGACGAGGAGGGGAGATGACCCCCACCGAACATCTTCCTCCCAAGCGCCGCAACCTCAGCGTTCATCCTACGACGGAGGATGGGGGACGAAAATACTTTCCGTGCTTGTGTTTCGCTAGTTTCCGAGGTCGGACTCGCCGAACGAGATTCTGGGCCGCTCCCCCTTCAGGCCCCGCGTTTTGCATGAGGGCGTTTCTTTCCAACCCTCGCGGCCCGCTTTCCCGTCCTTCTCCGAGGAGGAGGGAGATCACGGCGACGCCGCTGACGAAGAGGATGTATGCCCCTCCCCGGAATCGACCGCGTTGGCTACGCATTACATTTTTCGGCATCCCGGGGCGTTTCCTGGGGCCCTGTTCGAAGGTTCGGCATGTCAAAAGAAGGGGAATACCTCACGGACACAATTCATCGTCGATCTCCCAGAACATATGGGAAACTATGGGAAGTGGGGGGGAATACGAAAATCCAGAAGATATAAGGAATCCTGAGATGTTTGTGTATTTATTCGTGTGGCCCCTTGAAAACTGTTCTTTTGGGAAGGGCCTGTTGTCCAGGACCAGCTGCCTCCAGGACCCGCTGCCTCCCCGCCAGGTAGAGCACGCCACCGCGCGCGAGGGAGTGTATGGCGTCCTTCTCCCGTGCCGTCTCGGGGGCCCCAGGTTATGATGTTCCAGAAAAAAATCGAGCTCCAAAAAAGTACCAAAACTCAAGGGTTTTCACGTGTCAGGCCCTGGGAGACACTCGTCCGACATTGTTTCGACACTCGGTCGACACTCTTTCGACACTTTTTCAGGTGCTCGAAATTATTTCTGGGATGTGGTCCTTAAGTACGATGGAAACAAAATAAGCCCCAGGGAGGGGCAGCTGACTACTGTTCATCATCATCACCTTTCCGTTGTCCTTCGGCGGCGGCGGGCGAGGGGTGGAAATAAGAAGGGGCGGGCCTTCTCTGAAGGCTCGGGAGTCCCCAAGCCTTCTGACAAGTGCTGCAAGCCTTCGCCGAAGACACCAGAAAGCATTCAGAAGGCACGAGGGTTTCTGAGAAGTCACGCCGCCTTCTGAGAAGGCCTTCTCCTTCTCATTTCCCCCCCTCGCTCGCCGCCAACTTCTCCTTGCCCATCCCCTCCCTCCTCCCCCTCCTCCCTTCCGTTTACCACGCTTCCCAGAGCCCCCGTTTTGGCATACGGTAGACGTGTGCCGTGTCGATGCGGCAACGACCCCGCCGCGGGGGCGTTCAAGGTTGAACGCCGCCAGAGGCCCAGAATCGGCGGCCTATATGGAGCGATCCACGCGGTGTGAGAAACCAACGCCGGGGTCGTCACGACACGATTTTGCTTGAGGGACAAGCTCAGGCCATGAGCCTGCCCACCGATCGTCACGACACGACATGGCCGGGGGTGGGGGCCAACGGCAGGCGCATGTCGGCGCTGGCGGCCGTGTATGCTGACCCTCCGTCGGCAAATCGAGGGATCAAACGGTAGGCGTTCCCCGTTTCGGCTATTTGTTTGGATTGTCTGATGCCTCCAAAGTCTGGACAATTCGCGTGTCCCCACCACTTTCTTCTCCGTTGCCCGTCCACCGCCCGCGTTCGGTTTCGGCCTCACCTATTTTCCGCGCTTGCCAGCTGTTGTTCAGGCATCCGCCCTGTTCCACGTAGGCCTGGCTGTCGTTGACCCATCGACGCCGCGCGGCTGTCCGCTAGCGGTCGGTAAACAAAAAAGTATCCCCACCAGCCCATCCAGAAAGGATGTCCAGGCGAGTTGAGGTGATCAGGGAAGTGCGGGAGCAAAGAGGGGGACGGAAGGACCGCTCGAAGGAGGGAGGAGGAGAAGGAGGAGGTTGGATGGATGGTTGAGGGAGTGGGGAGAAGGAAGATGAATAGGATGAGGGGGAGGAGGAGGAGGAGGAGGAGGAGGAGGAGGAGGAGGAGGAGGAGGAGGAGGAGGAGGAAAAGGAAAAGGAAAAGGAGGAGGAGGAGGAGGAGGAGGAAGAAGAGAAGGAGTAGGAGGAGGAAGGAGGAGCAGGAAAAGGAGGGCAGGCGAAAGGACCAGAGGTATCTTGGATGTCTCTCGGAGCCTCTTGGGATATCTCTTGGGCTCTTCGTGGAGGCCTCTTGGATCGTCTTGGGGGTCTCTTGGCGGTCCTGGGGGTCTCTTGGGCGTCTTGGGTGCCTCGGTGAGGCCACTTGGGCCATCTTGGGGCCATTTTGGGGCCTCCTGGGCGCTTCTTGAAGCCATCTTGGAGGACGTCGATCAAAGAAGGGGGGTGCCTAATTAGCGTTGCCCTTCTAGAGCATCTAACATCGCCTCTTGGGGCGCTCTTGGAGCGCTCTTGGGCGCCATTGGGGCCGTCTTGAGGCTCTTTTCGGCCCCTCTTCGGACCCTCTTGGGCCATCTTGGAGCCATCTTGAGGCCTCGGATGGCCATCGGAAGCGAAAAGGCGAGAAGACACAACTCATTAGTTGTCCGTCGGTTTGGCAAGGATGTCGGCCTCTTGGAGGCCTCCTTGGATGTCTCGGAGGCCTCTTGGAACCTTCTTGGACCCTCTTGGAGCATCTTGGGAACCACCTTGCGCTCTTGGAGCCGTCTTGGGCCATCGTGGACGCTCTGACCGCTCGCGACCGCCCCCGTCCAGGTCTAGGGGAGGGGGTGGGGGGAGGGGTCAAGACCCCCTCCCCGCCCGCAAGCCGTCTCGCTCACTCCCACCCGCCCTCCCAACACATACGTAGCACCCGAGTCTGGCCCGAGCCTCAGCAGATTCAGCAGTCGTCTTGGGATGGCCAGCTACTGGGGGCCAATCCGCCGCCGCCGCCGCCGCCGCTGCCGCCGCCGCCGCCGCCGCCGCCGCCGCCGCCGCCGCCGCCACAGCCTGCCGCCGCCGCCGCCGCTGCCCGCCCGCCGCGCCCGCCACCGCCCGCCGCCGCGCCGCCGCCGCCGCCCGCCGCCGCCGCCCGTTGCCAAACCGCCGCCGCCGCCGCAGCCGATGCCGCCACCGCCACCGCCGCCGCCGCGACCGCAGCGCCGCCGCCGCCGCCGCTGCCGCCCCCGCCGCCGCCGCCGCCGCCGCCGCAGCCGCCGCAGCCGCCGCCACCGCCGCCGCAGCCGCCGCAACCGCCGCCGCCAAGTGTATTGTTTTTGACAGGGATGGTGGTGGGGGGGCCGCATCGGGTTGGCTGCGCATGTTCCGAATTTGGAGGCAGAGTGTGTTTTGCATTGTTTTTTGCAAGGGATTGTGGGGGGGGGGTCGTCATGGACCTTGGTTGGCCCCCAGTCGCCTGGGGGAGGGGGTGTTTATTAATAGGGAACGGTGATAAACCCTTTCCCGAAGGGGAAGAAGGGGGTTGGAAGAGGAAACGCTTTAGACCACCTACAACCGGTACGCCCAGAGGGCTGGTGGGATTTGGAACGAATGGCATGTGCACCGAGGAAGACATCAGCTGAGCGATGTACAGAGACGGGGTCGACCTCGCGGACGTAAGCGCAAAAGTCAGGAGGGGAAACAAAAACACAAACGGCACACTGAATCGTCGATTCCCAGGAAAATATGCGAAAATATGGGAAATGAGGGGGGGGACGGCAGACCTTGAAAATATACGAAAATATGGGGAATCTTGCTATTTGTGTACTTTTGTTTGAGAGAGCGTGATCCACCGCCGCTTTACTGTGGAAAATTGCCGCCCTTTTCCTCCGGGGCCCGGGGGTCCCCCCCCCGCACCCTCCGAAAATCCCCCCCCCCTGCTGGAACCCCTCCCCCCCCCTCTTCCCCGGCAAACCCCCCCCCCCCCCTCCCCCCCCCCCCCTCGACTCGAAAACCGGGGGGGGGTCACTACCGGTTCGAACCCCCTCCCTCCCTCGAAAACCGGAGGGGGGGGTCACTACCAGTTCGAACCACTGAGCTGTCCCACTGTTCCCACCACTGTCCCCACTGTCCCTACCACTGTCCCCACTGTACCTCTGTCCCATTGTCCCACCGCCGTCCTCGCCACCGCCTTCACCACTGTCCCCACCACCACTGTACCCTCCACTGTCCTACCGTTTCCACCACATTCCCACTGTCCCCACACCAGTGTCCCCACCACCACCGTCCCCACCACTGTCCCACTGTCCCCACTGTTCCCACCATTGTCCTCACCACTGTCCCCACCACTACCGTCCCCACCACTGTCCCACTGTCCCCACCACTGTCCCGCTGTCCCCTCACCACTGTCCCCACCACCACCGTCCCCACCACTGTCCGCACCCCCCCTCGGTTTTCGAGGGGGGGGGATCAAACAAGTAGTGACCCTCCCCGGTTTTCGAGTTCGAGGGGGGGGGGGTTCGAACCGGTAGTGACCCCCTCCCCTTTTCATGATGAACTGGGGGGGGGGAGGGGTTCGAACCGGTAGTGATCCCCCCTGGTTTTCCGGAGGGGGGGGGGAGGGGTTCGAACCGGTAGTGACCCCCCCCGGTTTTCCGCGTGCAGCGGTAGAACACGCTCTTTCATTTGTTTGCGTGTGCTTGTGGGCCCCTTCAATAAGTCGCCCGCGTGAGGGCGCGCGTGAGCCCCCTCCTCTCCGCGCGGAGTTCCGCCCTGGCGGCGGCCTGCGCAAGCAACCGCGCAAGGGCGCCGCATCCTCTCGCGTGAGACCCCTCTTCCAGGCGATCGCAAACATGGACCACGAGATAACGAGAAGGAGGAGGAAGAGGAGGAGGAGGAGGAGGAGGAGGATCACGAAAAGGAGGAGGAGGAGGAGGACGAGGAGGGGGAGGGGGAGGGGGAGGCGGAGGGTGAGGGGGAGGAGGGAGGACTGAGGAAGAGGCATAGGCGAACAAGGAAGAGGATCAGGCGATCGCAAACATGGATCAAGGGGGCGTGGATTAGCCACGGGTCCCGTTTCCATGGGACATCGCGGATTCCCGCCGCCGAATGAGGAGGCACCGGCCGCATTTAGGGAGGGCACCTCCTCCGATCCATGGATTTGGCGACCGCGCGCCTAATCCATGGATCGCTAATCCATGGTTGCGCGCCCCCGACTCTTCCCTCGTCGTCCAACTGGCGGTCCTGACCTGGTCCCTTTCGGAGGGGCTGGCGTGCAGCTGGGGGTTGGGGCCGTGTCGGCCTGCGGGGCGCGGTGTTGCTCGCGGTTGTATCGTGTTGTGTCCAGGAGACGTGGGATGACGAGAATATTCGGATTGCCCTGTCCAAGCCGAATTTAGCCTTTTACCCTGGAAAATGAAAACGAATCTCTGGCCCCGGGTAAAGCGCGGGGAAGGCGTCTGGGGAGCCAGTAGGACCCCTGCTTCGGCAAGCAGATACGCGGAGCTGGGTGCTCGAAGTTTCTGACGGGGATGCGCGTCTCAAGGACGCCCAGAACACCACACGATTGGAACCATGCCAGGGCTTATTTCGACTCCTCCGATCCGATTCGATTCTATTTCGATGGCTTCCGATTCGATTCGATTTCGCATTCCGATTCGGGCTCCGATCTCTCAATGGAGGCCTACTAGCCTGCCGATATCCGCTGATTCGACTCCTCCCGACCTGGCTGCCGACTTCCGCGGATCCGATGAACTTCGAGCGCCGATTCGATGTATCGGTTCGATTCTGGGCCCTCCTGCCATGCCCGACAGGATCCCGTGACGCGCGCTCGTGCACGGCACCAGCGGGCCCCCACCGCCGTCTGACTCCTCGCTTCGGCGTGTGGGCAGGCCCTCGCGCAGGGGCAGCGGCCGAAGAGGGGCTGCGCACGGGGCGGCAGAGGCTCGGGCGAGGCTTCCTCGCCGAGGAAGCTGTGCAGGGCACGGAGTCCTCACACGGACGGTGAGGTGGTGGAATTACATTCAAGTCGGGCCTGGCCTTCTACAGGGGAAATATTCAAAAATAGTAACAGAAATAGTCCAGGGACTATTTTTTGTAATTTTTGACCATTTTGGACTATGTTTGAGTATGTCCTATTTGTCGTTAAAAATCCACATGTAGGGGGACACGCCCGACTTGAAATTGCATGCTTTTGTGTGTGTTTACAGCGCTCGAGGAAGAAAGCATGCCGCAGGGCTGGACCTCAACGGTGTTTTTGGTGCTTTCGTGGGCCGTTTCGATGTCGTTTTGCGTGAAAGGCAGATTGAAGGCAAAACGAGGGAAAATGGAAACAACACGAAAACGAGAAACACCGTTTCAATTCAGCCCTGACATGCCATAAGCATAAACTTTTGGCGCTCCGCGCGGGTTTCTTGGACCCGCGCTGGGCCCCCCCCCCCGGCGGCGCTTCCGGCGTCGCCTTTGGCGCGCTCCGCGCGCCAGAGAGGGGGGTCCAGCGCAGATCCACGAAATCCGCGCGGAGCGCCAAAGGTTTATTTGTACTGCGTTTTTTCTTCTTCTAGGCATAGCCGATGTGTAAACCCTGTGGATGGTTGGCTTGCAGGCGCGCGCTGCCAAACAAAAGCACATCCCCCCTTGCTCCTCCCCCCTGCCGTCTGCCCTCAGGGGCATCAATGGGGGGGGATAGGCATGGAAGGGGATGCATCGACCCCCACTCGCCGAGGAACGCGGGGATTGCCAGTCAGGGGCCTGTCGCCGATCTATCGGCGATGTACCGCCGATTCCAGGTCGATGTGTCCCCCCCTATGCCAGTCCCCCTCGATCGGTCGAGCTGGACGCGCTGGCCCTGCTGCGTCCGCAATGCGCGGCACAACGTGGTCGTCATGGCACAATTTCGCAACCACGTCTCGGGGTCCCCCTGGGATCTTGGCGCAGAACCTTCCCTCGTTGGTAACTCCACGCCCTCCTGCCCCTCCCCTCCCCTCCTTCCTCCCGCGCGGATCCGCGGTGGCCGCCCTGCAAGGCTGCCAGCCTTCCTGCGGAGGTTCGACCTCAGATTCGGGCTGGAGGAGGGCCGGCCAGCGCCGTCGCGGGCACGCGCGCGCGTGCGCTGCACCGCCAGAGGACGCCCGCACCATGGTCACTCACCACCAGCATCACCACCATCACATTATCACAACCCCATCATCGTTGTCATTCTCACCTCCGTCACCACCACCACCACATCACCGTCTCATCATCATCATCATCATCATCATCATCATCATCATCATCATCATCATCATCATCATCATCATCATCATCATCATCATCATCCAGCAGCAGCAGCATCATACAGCGACTTGTCGGCATTTGTGGGTTTGTATGTGGCCGCACCTCCTTGCTCAAGTTCTTGAGGGAATGCAGGCATTGTTCGAACGCCTCACGCACGATCTCGCCAGTGCCCTCTCTACAGCTCTCATCGTCCGAGGCAGTTCGCCTCCGTGTCCCGCCTGCGATTGCGTGTGCTCGCCCGCGCTGCACTGTCCCTCGCTGGAGTGCCGCTGCCCAGGCGGCTTGGGTGCGGTGACCGCCGCCCCCTCGGAGGCCGAGGCCTCGGGCTTCTCGGGCACCGCGCTGGGCAGCTCGCTGCTCCTCGGCGCGCTGGGCGGCTGTTCGCTCGCCCGCTGGGCCTCGCGCCGCGCGGCGCCCTCGACTCGGGGTAAGCCGTTCGCGCTGGAGGCAGAGGTGCGCACGACCGACTTGGCGGCGGAGGCGGCGGCGCAGGCTGCGCGCTTTCGCAGAGCGTAGTCGTGATGGCGACGCCCGCCGCTGGCCAGTTCCATTTGGTGAGGTACAACGTGGGAGGCCCAGCGATATACCACGAGCGCTTGACGCTGCTGCCTGGGTACATTCTCACGCCCGACGGCGATGACTATGCTGAGGTCGCCATCCCGAATCACGACATCCGATCGATTCACATTCTCAGTGGCCAAGGTGAGGGGCTTCCAGGGATACCGCCTCAGCATCTATATCAGTTTCGGCAGCTGCCTCGGGTCGCTGAGGTGTGGGCGACACTTCGCCGCGCGACGGCCCAGGGGTTCGGAGCGACGCCTGCGTCGCCGTTCTGCATCGACCTGAGTGCCACCAACGTGCTGGGGTTGGCCGCTGGCGCGTTGCCGCTCCCCGACCCTGCAGCCGTCGCGCCTGGCGCGGGCGCTGGGGCCCTGGCGCCTGCGGGGGTCCCTGGGTTGCCTGGCGGCGCCGCCCCCGCGGCGGGCGCCCTGCCGGCTGCTGGAGCCGCCGCCGCGCTGCCCGCCCTCGGCGGCCCTGGAGCTGCTGGGCCCCCCGCTGGAGCTGGTGGAGTCTGCGCCTTGGCGGCTGCCCTCGGTGGCGGGGGAGCTGGAGCGCCAGCCGCCGCGGCTCCAGTGCCTGGTGCCGCGCCCGCCGCCGCTGCGCCGCCTCTCGTCGGAGACCCGCGGGTGATGGCGCTGGTGCTCGACGGCCGTGGCTTTCGGGACATCAGCTTCAGCGACGCGGTGAAGCTGCAGACCGAGACGGTGAGGGCCGACTGGCCAGTCAAAGGCCCTCGGACGCTGCTCTGGGCCCTCGGATTCATGCTGCGCATGGCTGGAGGTGCTAGGGCATGGCACAACAGATGGATTGCGATGATGCAGCTAGGAGAATCCGACGAGAACGCGAAGCTCCACGAGACCTTGTGCCGCGTGATAGAGACCGCCCTCTGCCGCGACCAGCTGGTGATATGCGAGCTGGCCTCGTACGAGCACCTCGCCCGTCAGCTTCAGTTGGTAGAGGAGCGCGCGTTCGAGGAGCGCGCGCGCAGGAGCCGGCCCGCGCCGAAGGCCAGGGCTCAGGCCAAGGAGCTGGGGGCTGGTGACTTCGGTTCAGAGGTCGGCCATTTCCTCGGCACGGGAGAGACGAAAGGGAACTTGTGTATCTGTCCTGCTTTGATGGGTTGGATCGCCGGTCAGATGAAGATGGAAGCAGCTGTCGCGAAAGAGCGCCGCAAGGCTCGTGAGGAACGAGCCTTGCGGGCGCCATGGCACTCCCTCAGGACCCTGGCCAGGATGGGCCTCACGAGCCTGTTCCCGTTGCTCGTGAGCCTGGCCAGGATTGCCCAGAGGCCCTCGTGCCTCCGCCTGGTCTGGACGCGCCCACACGTGGTGCCGATCGCCAGCGCGACGTTTTTTCCGCTACCTCGTCTTCCTGTGGATGGGCGCCGCCATCTTCCGCTGGGCCGCGCTGCTCGTCTGCGCGCTGCCAAAGGCGCGAGCTGGCGCGTGGCGCAACGAGGGGATCACCGCTCTCAACTGGCTCCATAGTGGCCGCGACGCGGAGCACCTCCCGCAGGTCGGTGGCGACCCGCCCGCCGTGCAGGCTGCGTCGGTGGACTACCTCTCGAGCCTGCATCGGGAGTTCGAGCTTCCTGCCGCGTATTCGGAGAGGAGCAGCGCCTGCGAAGCATCCCTGGTAGAGATGCTCGCTCAGGCTCCTGGCTACGCTGGTGACAGCGGTCGGTCCGCCCCTACAGCCAGCCCCTGGTGGCCTGGCCCAAGTCGACGAAGGCTGCGTCCACCTCCGACGTCGTCTCGGATGCCGACTCCATCGTGCTGCAGGGTTGGAGGCAGACTATGCTGAATTCCGAGTCGGTTGCTGCGGAGCTCCGCGACGCGCTGGGCATTCAGCGCCCGTGCGTCGATCCCGAGCTTCGCTATCAGCCTAAGTCTTACGCTCAGTTTTTGAAGCAGCTTGAGGCTCGCGACATGATATCATGGAGAGCCGCCAGTTCCCAGTCTTCTCACACAATCGGTTTATTCTTCGTGAAGAAATCCAATCACATGCGTAGGCTCGTGTTCGACACTAGGCTGGCTAACTGCAGCTCTGCCACGCCACGCCGCCAGCCACCAATCTTCCCACGCCCAGTGCGCGGGCCAGTGTCGATTGCGACGACAGCTTCGTTTTTGCACAAGGCGATATTCAATGTGCCTTCTACCACTTGCGCTTACCTCCAGGGATGGAGTCGCTGTTCTCGCTGCCCGCGATCTCCAATCGCCACATCGGCCTCGCATCGATCAATGGGAGGCCCGCCGGTACCAACGATTTTGTGCAGCCATTGGTCACAGTTGTTCCCATGGGTTGGAGCTGGGCCCTTCACTTTTGTCAGAGCGCCCTCGTTCGTGCCTTAACCGACGCTGGATTCGACAGTGGTGGCATGATCGTGGACGGAGGATGCCCCCGTACGCTAATGTCTCACACCGACGCCATATGTGTTGGATACGTTGACAACTTCTGCGTAGTGGCAAAAAGCCTTGAGATTGCCACTCGCCGTGCTCGTGAGGTCGCCGACCTTCTCACGTCCCGAGGCTTGCCTGTCCTGGAGTTCTCGGAGGCCGTCAGTAAGGGTGTCTTCGCGGGCTTGCAGATTGACGGTCTCTCGGGTGTCGTTCGAGTTCGACCCGATCGTCTCGCGCGTACGCGGCAGGCTGCACTCGGACTCTTACGACGTGGTCGGGCCTCTGCGGGGGCTCTCAGCGCGCTGGTGGGCCGCTGTACTTTGGGTGTGATCTTGAGGCGGGATGTCTTGGCGATCTTCAACTCAGTCTATAGGTTCATCAACGTGGCGGGCGCTCAGCCCGCGCCTCTTTGGGATGCCGTTGTTAGGGGACTTCGAGCTGCAGTTGCCTTGATCCCCCTCTGGAGCGCCTCTACTAGGTCCAGGTGGTCGTCTAGGGTCTACGCGTCTGACGCGTCGACGTACGGGAAGGGCGTGCGCGTCAAGGTGATCCCCCCCGACCTGGTCTCAGAGGTTGGCCGCGTGGCCGAGAAGTGGAGGTGCCACCAGGGCTCCAGTGCTCTCGCGAGGTCCCACGCCTTCAGCCCCGTTGAGCCCCATCAGGAGGCCGCCGACCGTGCTCCTCCTGCCGCGCCGCTGCCTGCTGCTGCTGTGTCGTCGTCGACTACATCTAACTTCTTGGAGGTTCCCGAGGCTGTCTTTGGGTTCGACGGCTGGAAGACGATCCACTCGAGCAGGCACACGCGGTTTGGGTGTGATATTTTGCGATATGAGGCCGGGGCCTTGGGGTTCAGCATTCACCATGCCTCGAGGACCCTCGGAGTCCACCATCATCGCATGCTATGCCTCGTTGACAACTTGACTCTAGCCCTCGCTGTTGGCAAAGGGCGGTCGGGGAGCCCGCATCTCGTGCGCGCGCTGAGGCGGCTCTCTGGCGTCACCTTGGCATGCGGGCTGCGGCTGCTGGTCCGATGGGTGCCCTCTGAACGGAATGTCACCGACAAGCCGTCGAGGGAGGGCTTCTTCGTCGGGCCGAGCTTCGAGGACCTCCTGGAGGGGCAAGTCGCGCGGCGGCCTCGTCGGGCCCAAGGAGGTGATCAAGACCGCGAGGGCTCGGAAGACCCACCCTGGGCCCTCCAGTCTCTCGCGAGGGAGTCTCTCAGTGCTGGAGGCGTCAGCCATCTCGGCCTCCACGGGCAGGAACTACCACGATTGCGCCCAGAAGTTTCTGAGCTGGTGCCTGCGGACCGCGCGGGACTTCTCCTGCCGCGCCGACCTCGACACCGCGCTGGCGGTGTACTTCGCGCATCTGTTCCTGGGCGGGTACGACAGCGCGACGGGCCGCGCCACGCTGGCCGCCCTGAAGCACCATCTCCCCTCGATGCTGGTCGGGAGTCGGCCGCTGCCGCGGGCGTTTCGGGCGCTGCAGGGGTGGGCGAAGCTCGTCCCGCCCCAGATGCGCCTTCCGCTGCCTCGGGTGGCGATGTTCTCGATAGTGGGCGTCCTCCTGGCGCAGGGCCGCCTGTCAGAGGCGGTGTTCGTACGCCTGGCCTTCGACACGTACCTCCGCCCGAGCGAGGCCTACCGCCTCACGGCCGCCTCGCTCATCGCCCCGCGCGTCGGGTCGAGGGGCGGCTACCAGCACTGGGCCATCCTGGTCAACGATGCAGCCAGCGGCAGACCTGGCAAGACGGGGGTGACCGACGAGAGCGCGATCGTGGACGACCCGTCGGCGTGGCCGCTGCGCTGCGCGACGGGAGGCGGCCCGAGGCGAAC